AGCACTGTAGTGGCCTGGTCGTGTTTAAACAACTCAGCGTTTTTTGCGCTTCAAGGTATCGATGGTGGGTCTTGTTTCTTTTTAAGATATGAAGTTTCATGGGTGTTACTCCGATGCCGTATCTATGGTATTTAGGAGTGAGAATGTCTGGTGGTCAAATGCTGTTGGTTTTTCGGTGGTCCGTTGCCATCGCTGGACTATCCGAGTTTTATGGTGCTTACTCCGGTGATCATGCTCTGGTGACTGTCGTTGGTTGTCAGATTTTTTACCTCGCCGGATTTTGTTACGGCGTTGTGTGGTTCTATTTGGGTTGGTACATCGGTGGTTGTTGCAGGCAGTGGCTGTAAGCTGGTCGGCCATGTCGTTTTGTCCAGGATTGTAAGGAGCGTGGATGCACGGTCTGCTGTGTGCGTGAGTTCACAACGGTGGTGCAGAGCAAATGTCATCCTAGTGGTGTGACAGATTTTTCCGTGGGCTGTATTAGTGGTTTTGCAGAGGTTCCGTGTAACGAAGGACTTGTTTGGGCAGCTGTAAAGCGTGAAATGGGTGTATGTGGGGGATCATGCTGTGTGGTTCTGATGTATGGCATGTTGATGCTGATGAGTTGTATTACAGGTTACTGTGATGCTTAGCTATTAGTGCGTTTAATATATATATATTATATATATATTCGGTGCTTTGTTTTAGTGGGTGGGCCTGCTTGCTGTAACAATTTTTTGGGTCCGTGGGTTTCCTTTTCCACGTGGGTACTTCTTTGGGCCCACGGTGCCATTTTTTATATGTCAATGTGGACTATCCGTGGGTTGGTTTATTGGTGAAGACAGTAGGCTTATTCTTGGGCTCACTATTTTTTATGCCGCTTCTTTTAGTGGGCTTTTGATTATGGGTCTTTGATGACCACGTGTGGGCTTAATATTTTTGTGGCCCAAGTTTTTATACTGTCAAGTGGGGTGCTTTCATGAGGAAATTTTGGGCAGCTGGTTTTTTATTTTCTTTTTAGTCACTTTGCAGCGGATTATATATAGTCGATTTTATCTTGATGATTGATCGTGTGATCCTCATGTGACTCGATATGAGGTTAGTTTTGAGCCATCTCCGCCAAGAGTGATTGAGGGGTCACTGCTATGGGGAATAGTGGTTCGATGACTAGCCGAGTTAGAGACTGGGAGATGAGCGGGAGGATAGCTACCGGTTCCGGTTGCTTCTTGTCTTCATGTGACCCATCCTAATTGGTCGTATTGCCACGCCTGACATGGAGTGAAGGGCACACTGCCGTGGGGTTTGAGGCTTGTGATCTACTAAGGAAGGGACTGGGGGATGTGATGATTGATCTCAGGTTATTCTTTGGCTATGTATCGGTTTGTTGCTGTGGGGCTACCGTTGTCGCTTCGACTCACAAGACTATTGCTTATGGTTACTGATCGTGCTAGCTTCATGTGACTCTGTCGGGATTTCTCATGGGGTAGATTTTTTCCTCTGTCATGGCTTTTGTTGAGTGGCTAGGATGTCACGGCTGTGAGGAGTGGGATGCTTACTGGATTCCATGTGTTGATCTACGGTAGAGACTGGGGGCGAATGGGGTTGGTTATCATTTTTGATTTGTCTTGAGGGTTGTTGCTTTGTGAGTATGCTTGTGGTGGTTTTTAAGTTTTTTGATGTTTGTTTGTATCTTTGCCCATATATCCATCCCAAGTTTCCGTCTATTATCTCTGATGGTAGGGGTTACTTGGGGACAAAAGGATATATGGGCAAAGTTGGGTTACTTTGTTTTTTCTGTTGTTCTTGAGGTTCTCCCCCAATCTTAGGGGGTGCAGTGGTAGGTTATGTTGGTTATGTATTCGTTTATTTATTTGTTGTTGGGTATGCCTGGGGTATGCCCCTTGTAAACTTGTAAATTTCATTGTCTTTATTTTATGACTTACTTACCCAAAAAAGAGTTAGAGAAAAACTTTCTTCTTGAGTGGTAGAAGAGAAAATTGGAGAAAAGAAAGGGAAATACGATAAAAATGAAAGCAAATTGAAATTCAACCTTTTGTAAATGAGAATTGAACACTTAGGTGATTTAGGAAACCTTAAAAGAGTTTTTTAAGTGATACTAATATTGTTAAGCTACAATTACTCACTTGGAATTAGAGCAAGATTAGTTTGAGTTAAAATTGGCCGCTTAAGCTAATGAACCTATTAGTTGCCCAAACTAATTGGTTTCTAGAACAAAAGAGAGCGCCGTGGAGAAGGGCTGAGAGAGTTAGGGTGAAACTTTCTTCCTGAGCACTAAAAGAGAAAGTGAGAGAAATGAAAAGGGGAATAAGGAGCAAATTTTAAGCGAATTGAAATTCACCCTTTTGGAATTGTGAATTGAACACATAGGTGATTTAGAAAGAGACAACGATGGAGAAGGGCGGAGTGAGTTGGAGGGGAAAAAAAAATGAAATTGAATTGAAATTTATCCTCTTGTAAATGAGAATTGAACGATGAGGTGATTTAGGAAGCCTTAAATGAGTTTCTTTAGTGAAACTAATATCGTCAAGTTACAATTACTCACTTGGAAGGCGAGCAAGACTAGTTTGAGTTAAAATTGGCCACTTCAGCTAAGGAAACTATTAGTTGCCCAAACTAATTAGTTTCTAGAACAAAAGAGAGCGCCATGGAGAAGGGCGGGGAGAGTTAGGGAGAAACTTTCTTCCTGAGCGCTAAAAGAGAAAGTGAGAGAAAAGAAAAGGGGAATAGGGCAAAATCCTAGGCGAATTGAAATTCATCCTCTTGGACTGGAGAATTGTATGCATACGTGATTTAGAAAACATAAATGAGTTCCCTAAGTTAAAGTAATACCGTTATGCCACAATTACACGGCAAAATCTGCTCCTTGAAAGCTAACCAAGTTTAGTTTGAGTTGAATTTGGCCACTTAAGCTGATTAAGCTAATAATTTAATTGCCTAAGCTAATTAGTTAGTGGATCAGAAGAGAGATGGACGGGGAAGGACAGATAGAGTAAGAGAGAAACTTTCTCCAAGATTGGTTGAAGAGAAAGTTGGAGAAAAGAATGGAAAATACGATAAAAATTAAAGCGAATTGAAACTCATCCTTTAGTAAATGAGAATTGAACACTTAGTTGTTTTAGGAAACCTTTTTTTTTTTTTTTGGGTGAATAACTTTTAGGAAACCTTAACATAAGTGAAACCAATATTGTTAAGCCACAATTACTCACTTGGAAGTAGAGCAAGATTAGTTTGAGTTAAAATTGGCCGCTTAAGCTAATGAAGCTGTTAGTTGCCCAAAGTAATTAGTTTATAGAACAAAAGAGAGTGCCATGGAGAAGGGCGGAGAGTTAGGGAGAAACTTTCTTCCTGAGCGCTAAAAGAGAAAGTGATAGAAAAGAAAAGGGGAATAGAGCGAAATTTTAAGCGAATTGAAATTCATCCTTTTGTAAATGAGAATTGAGCACTTAGGTGATTTAGGAAGCCTTAATTGAGTTTCTTAAGTGAAACTAATGTCGTTAAGCTACAATTACTCACTTGGAAGTAGAGCAAGATTAGTTTGAGTTAAAATTGGGCACTTAACCTAATGAAGCTGTTAGTTGCCCAAAGTAATTAGTTTCTAGAACAAAACAGAGCGCCATGGAGAAGGGCGGAGAGAGTTAGGGAGAAACTTTCTTCCTGGGCGCTAAAAGAGAAAGTGAGAGAGAAAAGAAGAGGGGAATAGGATGAAATTTTAAGCAAATTGAAATTCATCCTTTTGGACTTGAGAATTGTACACATAGGTGATTTAGAAAACATGAAATGAGTTCCTTAAGTCAAAGTAATATCGTTATGCTAAAATTACTCAGCAAAATCTCCTCGTTGAAAGATAAGCAAGACTAGTTTGAGTTGAACTTGGACACTTAGGCTGATTAAACTAATAATTGCCTAAAATAATTAGTTAGTGGAGCAGAAGAGGGAAGGATGGAGAAGGACGGATAGAGTTAGAGAAAAACTTTCTTCTTGACTGGTAGAAGAGAAAATTGGAGAAAAGAAATGGAAATACGATAAAAATGAAAGCAAATTGAAATTCATCCTTTTGTAAATGAGAATTGAACACTTAGGTGATTTAGGAAACCTTAAAAGAGTTTCTTAAGTGAAACTAATATTGTTAAGCTACAATTACTCACTTGGAATTAGAGCAAGATTAGTTTGAGTTAAAATTGGCCGCTTAAGCTAATGGGCCTATTAGTTGCCCAAACTAATTGGTTTCTTGAACAAAAGAGAGCGCCGTGGAGAAGGGCTGAGAGAGTTAGGGAGAAACTTTCTTCCTGAGCGCGAAAAGAGAAAGTGAGAGAAAAGAAAAGGGAAATAGGGCGAAATTTTAGGCGAATTGAAATTCAACACATAGGTGATTTAGAAAGAGACAACGATGGAGAAGGGCGGAGTGAGTTGGAGGGGAAAAAAAATGAAAGTGAATTGAAATTTATCCTCTTGTAAATGAGAATTGAACGATGAGGTGATTTAGGAAGCCTTAAATTATTTGTTGTTTGGGCGTGCCTGGGGTATGCCCCTTGTAAACTTGTAAATTTCATTGTTTTATTTTATGACTTACTTGCCCAAAAAAAAAAAGTAGCCTTAAATGAGTTTCTTTAGTGAAACTAATATCGTCAAGTTACAATTACTCACTTGGAAGGCGAGCAAGACTAGTTTGAGTTAAAATTGGCCACTTCAGCTAAGGAAACTATTAGTTGCCCAAACTAATTAGTTTCAAGAACAAAAGGGAGCGCCATGGAGAAGGGCAGAGAGAGTTAGGGAGAAACTTTCTTCCTGAGCGCTAAAAGAGAAAGTGAGAGAAAAGAAAAGGGAAATAGGGCGAAATTTTAGGCGAATTGAAATTCAACCTCTTGGACTGGAGAATTGTACGCATAGAGGTGATTTAGAAAACATGAAATGAGTTCCTGGGCTTTAAATCTTTAGATATTTGGAATAGAGCGGCCATAGCTAAACACATTTGGTTTTTGTTTTCTGGGGGTGAGGGATCGATGTGGTGTCAGTGGGTCAAATCCTATTTATTAAAGGGGAAGAGTTTCTGGATAGTTAAGGTTCCTAATGATCCCTCTTGGGTGTGGAGAAAATTATTGTCTCTTAGGAAGTGGGTTTCCCCACTGATTAAGCATAAGATTGGGTGTGGGGACACCACTTTCCTTTGGTTTGATAATTGGCATCCCATTGGTCCTCTTTGGAACAAATTCGGGGATAGAATTATTTATGACTCTGCCCTTAACAGTGATACAAAAGTCAGTAAAATCATTGATGGGTCTTCTTGGAAGTGGCCTTTTCCCAATTCTTGGGAAATTCAGGAGCTAATCTCCTCTACTCTTGTGTGTTTTCATCCTAATCCTTCCAGCACTGATCAAGCTATTTGGAATCTTACCACTGATGGTAAGTTTTCCATTCAATCAGCTTGGAATCATTGGAGAAAGAAATTCGATATAGTGGTTTGGCATAAGCTTGTGTGGGGCCCTCATAGAATCCCTAAAGTCAGCTTCAATGTTTGGGTGGCTCTCCACAATAGACTTTACACTGGTGATAGACTCCGTATGTTTGGCTTGTCCACTAGCTCTCAATGCCCCTTTTGCCTCCACCTGGAGGAAAGCCACTCTCATCTATTCTTTGAATGCATCTTCTCTAGTAGAGTCTGGAGTGCCATTGAAGTTGCTTGTAACATTAAGTGGCCTGTCCTTGGCTGGCCTGAGAGTGTTACTTTTGTTTCTAAGGAGACTAAAGGTAACTCTTTGAGGGTGAATATCATTAGTAATGCATTCTTGTGTTCTGTTTACATGATCTGGATTGATAGAAATAACAGAATTTTTAACACAGAGCTAAAACCTGACGAGGTGGTCATTAAAATTGTTATCCAAATGGTTAGAAATAGAATGCTGTCACTTAAGAATATTCCTAGATCCAATGGTGACAAATGGTTTCTTGATAAATGGAGTTTGCCGGAGACAATTCTGAAGCCCCATAGCATCAGAAATGGGAGGGCTGCTGAGTGATGTGAGTTCACTAAATGTGGGTCGAGAGATGGTGAGCTTATATGAGGGTTTTATGTATTTAAGCTTTTTTTCTTTTGCAGGTATATTCGGGTGTGCCAAGTGGATCTATCTATCCTTGAGGGTCGAGTGATGAAAGTTACTTTATATGTTCTCCAATTATCTGTGGGTCGAGTGATGTTAGCCATAAAATTTTTACTAATGACTATATATACTGTAAATTTTTATGTGCAGGTTAAGGAAGCTAATTTCGAGTGGTGTGAGCCCCTAAACTGTGGGCCGAGTGATGAGAGTTCCTACATTGAGTGTGCTACTGCTATGTTTTGCCTTTGGTATCACGGGATATACTCACTTCTGATTTCTTCTACAGGGTCTATTACAATGTTTGAGCAATATGGTGGCTGCCTGGATAGGGATATGTGCTACGTGTCTGAAGGATGTGGCTGTTATGAAATTCCTATGCTAGGCAGATCGGGCTGCTGTGGGTCCACGGTAATGTTTGAGTTCTATTGGGGCTGTATGGACTGCTGTGGGTTCGATAGCACTAAGGGTGGTCGTGTTTTCTGGCAATTGATGATGGCTGCTTGTAGCGCCTTTGTGGGTACTTGTCTTTCTTTTATTTTTATTTTATTTGACTCTGTAAGTGTTTTGCTAGGTTGTCACTCCTTTTGGCCTAGCCGTGTGGGTTGTACATGGTCTATCATTTTGTGTCTGCTGCTAGTTGTTGCCGTTTGGTGGGCTGATTTCGTTCAAATTAGGGTCACTGTTTGGATGTGTTCATGGTCCTCATTCGAATTTATGCGGCTCATGAACATATTTTGGGGGGGTTATAATTTTCCCATGTTTTGATTTCCTTTCTCCAGTTATAGTCTTGTTTGTTTCTGGTCCTGTTTTATTTTGGCTGTTGCTGGTTGTGTGAGTTCACCTTTTTCTTTTCATCTTGTATAGTTTTTGTTAGGTCCTGGGGTATGCCCCTTGTAGCTGTGTAATCTCTGTTTTTTTATTTATGTCTTATTCACCCAAAAAAATAAGCTAATAATTGCCTAAGCTAATTAGTTAGTGGATCAGAAGAGAGATGGACGGGGAAGGACAGATAGAGTAAGAGAGAAACTTTCTTCAAGAGTGGTAGAAGAGAAAGTCAGAGAAAAGAATGGAAAATACGATAAAAATGAAAGCGAATTGAAACTCATCCTTTAGTAAATGAGAATTGAACACTTAGTTGTTTTAGGAAACCTCTTTTCTTTTCTTTTTTTGGATGAATAACTTTTAAGGTAACCTTAACCTAAGTGAAACCAATATTGTTAAGCCACAATTACTCACTTGGAAGTAGAGCAAGATTAGTTTGTGTTAAAATTGGCCACTTAAGCTAACGAAACTATTAGTTGCCCAAACCAACTAGTTTCTAGAACAAAAGAGAGCGCCACAAAGAAGGGCGGGGAGAGTTAGGGAGAAACTTTCTTCCTGAGCGCTAAAAGAGAAAGTGAGAGAAAAGAAAAGGGGAATAGAGCGAAATTTTAAGCAAATTGAAATTCATCCTTTTGGAATTGAGCATTGAACACATAGGTGATTTGGAAAGAGAGAACGATGGAGAAGGGCAGAGTGGGTCGGAGGGCGGGAAAAAATGAAAGCGAATTGAAATTCATCCTTTTGTAAATGAGAATTGAGCACTTAGGTGATTTAGGAAGCCTTAATTGAGTTTCTTAAGTGAAACTAATGTCGTTAAGCTACAATTACTCACTTGGAAGTAGAGCAAGATTAGTTTTGAGTTAAAATTAGCCACTTAACCTAATGAAGCTGTTAGTTGCCCAAAGTAATTAGTTTCTAGAACAAAACAGAGCGCCATGGAGAAGGGCGGAGAGAGTTAGAGAGAAACTTTCTTCCTGAGCGCTAGAAGAGAAAGTGAGAGAAAAGAAAAGGGGAATAGGGCAAAATCCTAGGCGAATTGAAATTCATCCTCTTGGACTGGAGAATTGTACGCATGGGTGATTTAGAAAACATAAAATGAGTTCCCTAAGTTAAAGTAATATCGTTATGCCACAATTACACGGCAAAATCTGCTCCTTGAAAGCTAACCAAGTTTAGTTTGAGTTGAATTTGGCCACTTAAGCTGATTAAGCTAATAATTGCCTAAGCTAATTAGTTAGTGAATCAGAAGAGAGATGGACGGGGAAGGACAGATAGAGTAAGAGAGAAACTTTCTTCAAGAGTGGTAGAAGAGAAAGTCAGATAAAAGAATGGAAAATACGATAAAAATGAAAGCGAATTGAAACTCATCCTTTAGTAAATGAGAATTGAACACTTAGTTGTTTTAGGAAACCTTTTTTTTTTTTTTTGGGTGAATAACGTTTAGGTAACCTTAACCTAAGTGAAACCAATATTGTTAAGCCACAATTACTTTTTTTTTTTTTTTGGGTGAATAAGAAATAATATAAAACAGAAAAATTTACAAAAATACAGGGGGCATACCCCAGGCCCTAACAACAGAAAAACAACATAAGCCTCGGCCCACAGACACCGAAGCCCAAAAAAACACAAACAGAAACACTAGACCAAACCTAGGAGCTACATCCGAAAATTAGGAGAGCCAAAAGAAACTTAGCCAATCGAATTGTACAAAGGCCATATCCTATGATGAATAGGGACCTTGTACAAAGGACAGAACCAGCATCCAACAAGCACCACTACAACAGTCAAAAACTCCCTACACAACCCGTAGGGATGGGCACCATCACACCCACAAAACCTCCCTACACAACCCGTAGGGATAGGAACCTGTAACAAAATAAAAATAATACAAAAATAGTAACCCAAGCAAACCGAAGTAATGAACCAAGAGGGGCCCATCCTACCGAATTGCTCAAAAAACCTGTTACACGAGACACCAAAGTACACATGAAACCTCCTACACAACCCGTAGGAGTAGGCAAACTGCAAACTACAACTGTGTACAAATAAAAATAAGAAGAAAGACCACTGATTAGCTCCCACTTGTAGCATAGCAAGGCGCTTGAAGCAGCCATCACCATGGTACATACACACCCTGCCAACTGCCACCCAAATCTGAACAGCAATCAGCCACCACTCCTCCACAGCAAGAGAGAAATAAACTGTTAACAGCCTCAGGTAACTACGGAATAAGGAGTTACCACACCACCGAACCACGACATAAACCACAACCAGCCATGGATAGAAATTACCACCTCCGTAATGAAGATCATAAAGCAGCAGAAATAACAAGCACACTGTATAAGACCTCCCCACACTCGGCCCATAGTAAAAAACATTCTTACACTCCATATAGAACCTCACATCACTTGGCCCACACCTCACCAGATTTCTCAATAGAACAATATAGGTAGTATACTTGAAAGCTCCATAAACCTGCATAAAACAAATATAATATATAATAAATGTTAGAGCAAAACATGTATACTGTCTCTCTTCACTCAACCCACAGTGGCATAGAATACTTTGCTTGCTCACATCACTCAACCCTCCAATCAGCCACTTCAATGATATAGGATTCATCATAACCTGATAAGAAAGGAAAGAACCTACAAAAGAACACCCAATTAGTAAAACCC